TTATTAATACTAGAATCCCAACTTGTTTCTGTTCCTAAAATCACAGGAAAAGTGCAAGCATTAACTTTCTTGTAAATCTCATTCACTTTGGTGGCGCTTCTCATTCTATTAAAATTCTGACAGTAAATGACCAACTCCTTACTTTCATCATTACGATGCAATTCCAAATTTTGTGCTTCAGTACTAGGCGGCAAACTAAAACTATTTAAATTAATTACCTCTCCTTCCTGCTGTCGAGAGGTCGTCAAATCGTGAAAGTTGTCCAGTTCTTCAAAAACATTGTCATCGTTGGGACTTTCCTCTAGATGACTCGTCAATTTCATCCAACGCATCCAACAGACTTACCTTGCAAGTCCATAATCTGCCGCAATCAAGTTTAATTTAATTTTGTTGTCTTTCCAGAACTGCACACAAATTGACGTTAGCGTGTTTACAAATGGCTGCTATTAGAATTTTCGAATGAACAGAGAAATACCACAAACATGGTATTTTCAACGGCAATATATTGTCAGCTAAATACTGTCGGTGCGGTGCGTTTGATTTTATTGCAAATGTGGTTGAAACCGAATGAAGAAAATGGTTTGTGTCTACAACAGTATGGCGCATAGTAGATTCAAACATGTTACTTCTGTGGGAGCAGAGCTCTCTATTATGGCAATCCCCCAGGTCCCTGGTCTAGAGCCACGGGGACCAACGGGGTGGGCTTTCCACCAGCCTCTTTTGTTGGCTTAGCTCACGACTCTTCCCCAGGTCGTATCTCGACAAAGAGTGAGATGGTGAGGCTGATCAGGGCGCAAATAACGTTCTACTCGGTCTTCTTTTAGGCACTTTTTATTTAGGATATCACGTTACTTACGTATAATAGGGTGTGTGTGTGTGTGTGGGTGTGTGAATGGCCGGCCGGCGTGCTGGATCGTGGATCACTGGGCGGATGACCCAGCGGATGATCTGCTAGTTTAGGAATGACGCGATCTCGTGTCTCCCGACGCTCGCTTGGTTGACCGCTCCGACGGTCTAGAAAGCGTTCGGGTTGATCGCCAGTGATTGCGAGGAACTTCACGCTCGCTGGGAGGGTTGACCGCTCCGACGGTCTGGAAAGCGTTCGGTGGCTCAACGCTGAACAGCGGAGACTCAAACTAAGGACAATGGGTCCTGATTCTTTGATTAACGCGTTCCTGAGGTTCTTATTTCCACTTTACTTAACTGGAAATTCACTTCGACTTGAAATGTTTGAACATTTGGACTATGTTGTAAATATACCGATACTAGTCTGTGAACTATGATCCAAACCTCCTTCGAGAAGAGCTGAAGTGGAAAAGAACTTGCCCATTCGATCTGACCCAGTAGTATCCTCCTATTTGACCATACTCCCTGTTTCCACCCGTCATACTTTTCGTTTATTACCCCCTTTTGTTAACCGATCCTGGTTGTGGTGTCTGTATGGGAAGTGTACCTTATGTTTTACAAATTGTGTTCTGATAATTTTAATTTGACCGTTTCTTTGGAGTGGTATTTTTAATCTGTTCTGCTATTTCTTTACATATTTTCATTTGTTTTTAATAAATTAAGTTTTATAACATAGAACATTAAGTAAATAAACAATAACTTTCGGCATAACCGTTAAATAAATAGATTAATATTATAGATAACTCAATAGACTATTGTTAGCAACAGTCGGCCTTGCTCGTTCATACTTAATAGCAGTATGGATTGCCGATACCTACACTCACTCGCATTGCTCAGTGCTGGTGATATAGGGTAAACTACCCAAACGGTAACAAACATGATAACGTTAACTATGAGCCGAAAATCTCAACTACAGTTAATGGTCACAAATACTATTTTATTTCTAACTAATGAATGGTAATTTCTACTGAAATGTGGTAAAAGCAATAAATTTTTTTCGTAATTTCAACCGTTTTGTGACATGGTAGAACCAACAATCAATACGAAACTAACGATTTTAAATTGGCTCACTACTTGACTAGCCTATTGGTCCCAAGCAAACGATTAACGTATCCCATTCTAGTCGAAATTCTACTACTACACAATGTTTGTTTTGTTTCGCTATGAAAGTTTGACAGATAAAATAAGGGGTTAGTGGATTTTCCTATGTTTCGAGGGGTGAATCGATTAGCTTGGGACCGAAGAGAGTACCAGAGCTGAGCCAAAAAGTTGAGCACGTTATTTCGGGACCTTCTAGTCTTAGAGTTACCTCTATGGTAGAACCATAGAGGTAACTCTAAGACCAGAAGGTCCCGAAGAAACGAGCTCAACTTTTTGGCTCAGCTCTGGTACTCTTTTCGGTCCCAAGCTAATCGATTCACCCCTCGAAACATAGGAAAATTCACTAACCCCTCATTTTATCTGTCAAACTTTCATAGCGAATCAAAACAAACATGGTGTAGTACTAGAATTTCGACTAGAATAGGGTACGTTAATCGTTTGCTTGGGACCAATAGGCTACTAAAGTGGTGAGCCAATTTAAAATCGTTAGTTTCGTATTGATTGTTGGTAGAACTAAACACGCTTATCTTGTACGAACTGCTACACAATTATTCTCAGTGTATGAGAAAGACTATAAAGGGTGTCTCACATCAAATTGCATCACGGAAAAAAACGCTGTAGAAATTACCCGTTGGGTATTTTCTCTTGAAAATTTGGTCGGAATTAGTTTAGAGTGTATTGTTTACAATGTATTTTTATCGCTGTCACCTTTTCGAAAGTTAGAAAAAATTACGTCACCCGTTAAGCAACGTCGCGAATTGATTTGGCGCAAGCACCTGGAAAATTCTCAACTCTCTCATCGGGACATCGGAAAACAACTGCGGAATCGTGCAGTCAACGGTGAGTCGTGTGATTAAGGCTGTGAACCATTTGCCGAGTTAAAATTAACTCGTGGTTAAAAGTGACATTTCGAAAGTTATTTTCTATGTTCGAAAATCCCTGTGCTGTCGATCGACCGGTTTTCGAGCCACGGTTGTCAAAATTTAACTTCTTGTTTGTCAGAAATAACCATGCTCAGATAGCAGGGTTAATCGATAACTTTCCATCTGTCAAATTTTAACCAAAAGTTAAAATAATCCACCAAATGGTTCAGAGCCTAAATGGTACAACGAAACGCTGAGCACAGACAAACAGACGTAACTCTTTGAAAAAGTTTGTCTTGAAAACATAGTATCTCAAAACATAGGACCTCAGTAACGACACCTCGCGGGCTTATCGCGGAAAACAAGCTTGCTCGCTTACTCACAAACAATATTGCATAAAAGATCTATAGAATATATAGAAACGTCAAAGTGATACGATGCCAGCGCTGTGGCGAGTAGTTCACGGAACTGATAATATTCAAATCAACCGTTAAATGCGTGAACGAAGATACACAATGAAGTGTTACGTCTGTTTGTCTGTGCGCTGAGCATCAAACGGAAGGATAAATGCGGTCAGAATGGATGTTCTATTAGTGATCAGGATCACAAGCGTGTCGTGAAAGTGTTTAAGCGGAATCTCAATGCTTCGGTCAGGGATGTGGCCTAAAAGTTGAATCTGTCCAAGTCTTTCTTTCAGAGAGCCAAGGACTGGGAGGGCTCCAAATCGTGACGAACTGCAAAATACGGTGGAGAAGTCACGGGCCGGGTAACTGTACACCCAGATGCTGACGAAGCCTCATTGTCTCATCATGGATGATGAGATTTACGTCAAGGCGGACTTCCGGCAGCATTCGGGGCTACTGTTCTTCACCGTTCAGCACATGTTTGATATTCCGGAGGAAGTAAGAGAGCAGAAACTTTCAAAGTTTGCCAAGAAATACATGATTTGGCATACGAGCTGCTCATGTGGCAAACAGAGTGCGCCCTTTGTGACTACCGCGACTGTAAGCGGGTAGATCTACCGAATAGTCTTCAAGATTTTAGTTATATTTAAGTGCGTTTAAAAAACGAATAACAGCGACTTACATTCTTTGTGTAGCGAATTGGCATTTTGACACACCTTTCTAAAAGGTAAGGATGCCGAAAATGAAAAAAAAAACGATTTTTTGAAACCCACCAACCCTTCTTTATGAAGGCTTCTTGTTATCCATTGGCTGAAATTTGATGCATTTAGAACAAAATTAATAATTTTATTCTGATGAGCATGGCATCGTAATTAATGTTTAATGCATTCTGAGTCAGCCTGAATTAAATGATGAATGGAAATTTTAAAACCCCAGACACATTGTATAATACCACTGATGAGTTTCTCGGAATTCAGGATGAAGAAGTTTGGTTGTGATTCAGACACTCACAGCAATAAGGTGCTTCTTTTAAACCATTGCTAGGATGAAATTTCCCATAATCTGCTCTCTGTTCAAAAGTTATCTCCAATGAGCTCATTGCCCAAGCGCAATGACGGCAGAAGCGGAACGGCAACGACAGCGGAAAAATCCGATCTGAGTAAGCCTACTTGTCGGATTGAAAACTAGTTAGAATCAAATCGACTTCGGTTAGGCATCTTGATGTCATTAGCGACAATTGTCAAATTTTGCGTTTCCGGTCCGCTTCCGCCCACATTGTGCTTGGGCCTTTAGTATTGACCCACTCAACAGAAAGTGCACCATGTACAACTCCAACCAAGCACCCCGGTTCGTGCGTCTCGATCGAACGGTGTCGAAACATCTACACCATAGTTAGCAATCCAACTCCACCGTCTACAGGCATTGCTAACTCCTTAAAAAGGACTGCCTGCACGCTACCGGGAGTGACGCGTAGTATTTGCTGTCAACCGGCAGAAGTTATCCCGGAGCCGCCTACAACAACGGCCAGCCCTGCTTCAGGCGCAAACTTTAATCTACTACCCAGAGACTGTGGCCGAATAGTCACCGATAGAATTTCCCATGGAAACGTTACCCAAGTGTTTAGCTACCCCTGGATGGCTGTTCTACGGTACGATTACAATGGTACAATCAGAGATGGATGTAGTGGATCGCTGATCAACAAGCGGTACATCTTGACGGCTGCACATTGTCACAAGATGGAAATGTAAGTTAAATGAAAACTACTTTGTTCAAAGAATTACTCATTGTATCATTTCCTTGTTCCAGACATAGCGTCGTACTCGGAGAACATACCAAGGGCCAAGACATTGATTGCAACATTTATCATGATATCAAGGGTGAAGAAATTGAAAGGGACTGCGCTGGACCGATTGAGGAGTTCGGGATTGAATCGTTCGATGTTCACCAAGATTACAATCGACCGAAATACAGCAACGACATTGGATTGATTCGACTGGATAAAGATGTTACTATGAACGGTAAATATCATATGAAGCAAATCTTGTTTCTGGATATGTTTGTCAAACTTCGCATAATTTCGTTACAGATCACATAAAACCAATATGTTTACCAGTTACGGCGGATCTACAAAGAAAAGTGTTTGAAAACTATGTTGTTACTGGTTGGGGAACCACAGAAGCTCAAAAGGGGTCCAATATTTTGCTGGAGGCAGTTTTACCCTATGTGGACATATCCGAGTGTCGCCTGAAATTGAAAGAAAACACAATGAACGCTTGGCTTAGCGATAATCAAATGTGCGCTGGGGGTAAGAATAAGGTCGATTCCTGTAAGGGTGACTCTGGCGGACCACTTGGATTCAGTGCCAATTATAACGGTGCCCGATTCGTACAGTTCGGAATCGTTTCCTTCGGAGTGAGTGACTGTGGGCAAAAGAGCGTACCCGGTGTATACTGTCGGGTGGCAGCCTATATGGATTGGATAGCGGAACACATTAAACCCTAATTTTGTAGTGATTATGACAGTCTGCACTTGTGTTTAAAAAACACTTTCGGTAGTTAGTAAAATCAGGTCTCGAGAAAACCAGATATAAAATTTCACCGGAATTAATGCGGGTTTTATTGCTGAAAGAAAGTTCATAGCCTACTGCTGTATTTACTTAGAGCAGCCGTACCAGTCGTTGCCATTTGCGGCACTATTTTTCTTACGCACAGCGTTTCCATTTTGGCTTAATCACTCCTCTCCATACCGGTCGTTGCTATCAGAGTCATAATTTAAGTTACCGTTTTCCACACCGGCAAAACAAACTTTTGGCGTTTATTCAAAATAGCAGCCGTCTGATGCGTTGCTACCGGGTTTCTAAATTTATGAACTCATTACTTCCCAAGGTGCGGATTGCTATTTCCCCAACCTGAATAGCAACCCCCGGTACGCAAGTACACTCAAAAATATTACAAAACGAATATAGATTAAATTTTATGCATTTTATGGTTTTTCAAAATTTATACATTGGTTCGATTAAAATTTTCGTCAAAATTATACTAAGTCCGAATAACGGAGTGGAATTCGATCAGTGTTTACTAAAATGACAGGAATAAGAACATCTGGATTCCCTTCGGAGCTTCGTGCTGGTGATGGGCTTTGTCCCAGCAGATTCCTACTGCGCCTGTAATCTGCTGGGCAGCATCGAAATTGTAAGTATTTCTTTAAGTATTATTAATAGAAAATAAACTAATGAAAAAAGCTTCCTGAGACAATTTTTATTTTCATTTGAAAACAATAATATTTACCATAAATGAAATAAAGAAGCGAAAAATACATTCTCTTGAATAAACCGTATCTATGCATTGTGAGTATATTTCGATTTTATACTATGGCACGCATAAACCATTTTTATACTAAGTTTGCATTCTTTCCCTTTATACCGACCTTTGCGTCGGTACGGAGAGTTGCTATTTAGCGTAACTTTAATACTATTTAGATTTCAATATTTTTTGAGTGTAGCGTTATGGTAGAGGTTGGTAAATGTGCCTTATTTACTCATTGGTACGGTTGCTCTTATAGTTGGTAGCATTGCATAAATACAACTCGAAACACTGAATAAAAGCTTCTTCCATGTTTGAATTGAGCAATTATAATTTTTTTGATCCGTTTAGAAAAAAAAGTGCTTTTTAAGATTTGTGTAATCTCGTTCGAGGATTGAGGATATTTTTAAAGTTACGTAAGGATTTTCCGAATTTTGAATATAGCTCATATATCAATTTTGGTGCAGTTTTTGCATTGACTTAGGAAAAATTACGGTTTCGGCACTTCTTTATCTATCATGGTCAGGGGGTAAACTAAGTCCTTCAGCACTGACTTATTGCATGCATGGGCAGGGCTGGCAAAAGTCATTTTCACGCGATATTTACAGAGATACTTCTGTCACTATCATCGGATGAGAAAACTTTGATAGAGATTTTCTTCAAAATCTCTTCGATTTTTGTCATGGCAGAACGTGACAGTGTTGTGATCATCGTAATTACTAGCTCATTTATTGCTATTAAAGTTACTTGTACCGAGGAAAACTTTATAATATATTCACTCTACCGATTACATATGGTTGGTTGCTTAAATTCATCTAAATACGTTAGAAATGTTCATATCAAAACCGCATAAGAATTATTCTCATGAGTACTTGATCATTGGAAAATGACAAGAAAGCAAATGATAGGTAGTTTCGTCTCATGATAGAGAGAGGACCTGTTTTCCCATTGTCAAATGACGACCGTGATATTTACCAGCTCTGTGTAGGGGTATCATATTCTAGAGAATTGTTCTGCATAAAAACAAATGATTTCTCTAAGACTTCATTTACCCTCTTGACGATAATAGATAAAAAAAAGTACCGAAGCAGTCATTTTCTCTAAGCCAATGCAAAAACCGCATCAAAAATTGATGTTTGAACTGAGCTTTATTCAAAATTAGAACGGGTTGAAGTGTTTTCACTCTTCCCTAAATATCGCATAATTTAGTAGCTACACTGAAAATGTATTTTCATTATTTCTCCGAAAACCGTTTCGTAATCTGGCGCAATGTCAATATTACGCCTTATTCGTATAATATACAAATTCATCTTCGTACAATCATACCAACAACTGCGCTTATTGTCTCATAAAGTGCTGATTGAGCGTTGGAGATGGGATACTTTTTTTTTTGTTTGAAATATTGTCAGTTTGACCAATACATGCAAGCTACCATTATAAATCAAAATACTGGTCGCAGTGGTTTTATGTCAGAGGAAAAAAATACATGCAAGCAGCAGAAAAAGCAAACGAAATCGAATTACCGCTCCATGAGTACTTCTTATTTGCCTTTAGCCTTTCCATTTCTCGTTAGCACAGATAGAGCGATGGAAAAGGCACAGATATGACTATCGCAAGGTTCATGATACGAGTCTGGTGTGAACCCTTTTTTATTTTATTTTTATCATGTTTATTTCATCCAATGATTAAGTTATTTTTACCCATCCTCACTAACACATTCCACATTTTTCGGTCTCCACAACCAACACTTGTGGCCAGCTGGTTGGGTGTAGCGATAGCGAGTGTGGCACTTCTAACGAAATTAGCTTCATACAATGTACAAACCCGCATCGAAAATAATCATAAGGAGTGCCAAACTTTCATAGCGAATCAAAACAAACATAGTGTAGTACTGGAATTTATACTAGAATGGGATACGTTAATCGATTTGCTTGGGACCAATAGGCTAGGCAAGTAGTGAGCCAATTTAAAATCTTTAGTTTCGTATTGATTGTTGACTACACTATGTTTGTTTTGATTCGGTATGAAAGTTTGACAGATAACATGAGGGGTCCATGGATTTTCCTATGTTTCGAGGGGTGCATCGATTAGCTTGGGACGGAAGATAGTACCAGAGCTGAGCCAAAAAGTTGAGCACGTTTCTTCGGAACCTTCTGGTCTTAGAGTTACCTCTATGGTGCTATCATGATGGATGTACGTTCTTAAATATTTTGCTCTATAGCTTTTGAACTAAAGTATCGTACCAAACGTATGATTGATTCGTTCATATCAAAATCATTGATATTATATGACGGAAATACGCACTAATGCCGAAGTAGTTCCGTACCCTATACACAATAATTTTACCCAGTCGAACGTTTGTATCATGGTGGCCCGAATAGAAATTGTAATGTAGGAAACATCAGCAGACATCTTCAATACATTATATTTTAACGTGTATTGCTGTAACCTTAATGTATTCAGACTTCAGTGTGACGTCCAAGTACATAAAAATACATTAGCCTCAAACGTTACATCAGAATCAAACGTCTTGACGATGTAAAATTTGACATCAGAATACATCCAATGACAACAGACCCTAACGTTACATTAGAATCAAACATCATCACGATGTAATTTGTTGCACGCATAAAACATCAGAATACATCCAATGACAACAGAACCTAACGTTACATTAGAATCAAACTTCATCACGATGTAATTTGTTGCACGCATAAAACATCAGAATACATCCAATGACAACAGAACTTAACGTTACATTAGAATCAAACATCATCACGATGTAATTTGTTGCACGCATAAAACATCAGAATACATCCAATGACAACAGAACCAAACGTTACATTAGAATCAAAGTTCATCACGATGTAAATTGTTGTCCCTCGGTCTCTCGCCGCATGCAAAGTTTGTTTTGTCCTGAGTCAGCACTACACGGCGAATAAGAACGACCCAAATTTGAGGTTAGTTCACTCATAAATCGCAAAAAGTACAGGAACTCAGTTTTGAATTAATTTCCCTCATGTTCATGTTCATGATTGGATTCTCTGGATTCTCGTCAATTTTCCTTATTTTAGGGCAGATTTTTGAGGTTTTCCACAGGAAAACATGCGGCAAATTTACTCATCCTGCACTTTTTTCGCTATTGAGTACACTGTCCTCAAATTTGCGTTGATCTCATTAGCCGTGTACAGTTTGTTTTCGCATCAGTGGGAAAAATCTGGATCAACAATAGAAAAGGGTCCATCAGCATTTGTAAACAAACCGTTCCAAAGCCCATTCCTCGCAAATCGAAGGCCGCCCACACAAACCAACACCATCATCGTGTAGGTGGAAGTTTCCCCTATCCGATGATGGTGCTGGTTTGCGTGGGTGGCCTTCGCTTTGTGAGGAATGGGCTTTGGAACGGTTTGTTTGCAAATGCTGATGGGCCCTTTTCTATTGTTGATCCAGAAGTTTGGTTTTTCGACGAATAAATTAGCCCGCGGGAAAGTGCCGATCAAGGTGACTACATATAGGTGTTCTAATGTGTCAAATTCACGATTCAGCTATGTTGGATTTTTGTATGGAACAGCTACCGAGTTTGTTTCTGTGCCATAAAAAGGGAGCTACCGAGTTTGTTTACAATTTGCTCTAAAACCGCACTTTTCCCCCCGCGACCTCCACGCTAATATAGTGACAAAGCTGTATCACCATTTATATACCCACCATGGTGCCGATAATGTGTCCGTCGCGAGTTTCAATGTTTTTCTGGTAAGTAAATGTGAACTTATTAATGTAATGTAATATAATTTTGTTTTTTTTTTTAGGAAAGTGTACCAGTCCCAAGCCGACTCCCGGTAGGGAGTCTGAAGCTGGATCCCGGCGGGAAGTTTGCAGCCGGATCTCTTTTGCAGGTTAGTGAGTGTTTTTACTAAAAGCTACAATTAAATATAAGTGGACCCCGATGGAAATCCGATGACGAATTCCATAAACGGAGCCCGATGAAGGGTTCCGTAGACGGATCCCGATGACGGGTTCCGTAGACGGATCCCGGTGACGGGTTCCGTAGACGGATCCCGATGACGGGTTTCGTAGACAGATCCCGATGACGGGTTCCGTTGACGGATCCTGATAACGGGATTCCGTAAAGGGATCCCGATGGGGAAACCGAATACGGATCCCGATGGGGAAACCGAATACGGATCCCGATGGGGAAACCGAATACGGATCCCGATGGGGACACCGAATACGGATCCCGATGGGGAAAGCGAATACGGATCCCGATGGGGAAACCGAATACGGATCCCGATGGGAAAACCGAATACGGATCCCGATGGGGAAACCGAATACGGATCCCGATGGGGAAACCGAATACGTATCCTGATGGGGAAACCGAATACGGATCCCGATGGGGACACCGAATACGGATCCTGATGGGGAAACCGAATACGGATCCCAATAGGAAAACCGAATACGTATCCTGATGGGGAAACCGAATACGGATCCTGATGGGGAAACCGAATACGGGTCTTGATGGGGATTTCGTAGACAGATCCCGATGGGGAAACCGAATACGGATCTTGATTGGGAAACTGAATACGTATCCTGATGGGGAAACCGAATACGGGTCTTGATGGGGATTCCGTAGACGGATCCCGATGGGGAAACCGAATATGGATCCCGATGGGGACACCGAATACGGATCCTGATGGGGAAACCGAATACGGATCCCAATAGGAAAACCGAATACGTATCCTGATGGGGAAACCGAATACGGATCCTGATGGGGAAACCGAATACGGATCCCAATAGGAAAACCGAATACGGGTCCCAATGGGGAAACCGAATACGGATCCCGATGGGGATTTCGTAGGCGGATCCCGATGGGGAAACCGAATACGGATCCCGATGGGGAAACCGAATACGGATCCCGATGGGGAAACCGAATACGTATCCTGATGGGGAAACCGAATACGGATCCCGATGGGAAAACCGAATACGGGTCCCAATGGGGAAACGGCATACGGATCCCTATGGGGAAACCGAATACGTATCCCGATGGGGAAACCCAATACGTAGCCTGATGGGGAAACCGAATACGGATCCTGATGGGGAAACCGAATACGGATCCCAATAGGAAAACCGAATACGGGTCCCAATGGGGAAACCGAATACGGATCCCGATGGGGATTTCGTAGGCGGATCCCGATGGGGAAACCGAATACGGATCCCGATGGGGAAACCGAATACGGATCCCGATGGGGAAACCGAATACGTATCCTGATGGGGAAACCGAATACGGATCCTGATGGGGAAACCGAATACGAATCCCAATGGGAAAAACGAATACGGGTCCCAATGGGGAAACCGAATACGTATACCGAGGGGGAAACCGAATATGAATCCCGATGGGGAAATCGAATACGGATCCCGATTGGGATTCTGTAGATGGATCCCGATGGGGAAACCGAATACGGATCCCGATGGGGAAACCAAATACGGATCCCGATGGGGATTCTGTAGACGGATCCCGATGGGGAAACCGAATACGGATCTTGATTGGGAAACTGAATACGTATCCTGATGGGGAAACCGAATACGGGTCTTGATGGGGATTTCGTAGACAGATCCCGATGGGGAAACCGAATACGGATCTTGATTGGGAAACTGAATACGTATCCTGATGGGGAAACCGAATACGGGTCTTGATGGGGATTCCGTAGACGGATCCCGATGGGGAAACCGAATACGGATCCCGATGGGGAAACCTAATACGGGTCTTGATGGGTATTCCGTAGTCGGATCCCTATGGGGAAACCGAATATGAATCCCGATGGGGAAATCGAATACGGATCCCGATTGGGATTCTGTAGATGGATCCCGATGAGGAAACCGAATACGGATCCCGATGGGGAAACCAAATACGGATCCCGATGGGGATTCTGTAGACGGATCCCGATGGGGAAACCGAATACGGATCCCGATGAGGAAACCGAATACCGATCTTGATGGGGAAACTGAATACGTATCCTGATAGGGAAACCGACTACGGGTCTTGATGGGGATTCCGTAGACGGATCCCGATGGGGAAACTGAATACGTATCCTGATGGGGAAACCGAATATGGATCCCGATTGGGATTCTGTAGATGGATCCCGATGGGGAAACCGAATACGTATCCTGATGAGAAACCAAATACGGATCCCGATGGGGAAACCGAATACGGGTCTTGATGGGGAAACCGAATACGGGTCTTGATGGGGATTTCGTAGACAGATCCCGATGGGGAAACCGAATACGGATCCCGATGGGGAAACCGAATACGGGTCCCAATGGGGAAACCGAATACGGATTCCGATTGGGATACCGTAGACGGATCCCGATGGGGAAACCGAATACGTATCCCGATGGGGAAACCGAATACGGGTCTTGATAGGGAAACCGAATACGGGTCTTGATGGGGATTCCGTAGACGGATCCCGATGGGGAAACCGAATACGGGTCTTGATGGGGATTCCGTAGACGGATCCCGATGGGAAAACCGAATACGGGTCCCGGGAAACCGAATACGGGTCTTGATGGGGATTCCTGTACACTGATAAAATTTCAAAGATTGTTTCTATATGTCCTACTTTTGCAATACAAATTATATCTATGTGTCGGACGCCGTTACGTGGTGTTAGCATCTCCTGATTTTCTCTATAAATTTTCCACTTTCGACCAATTTGGCGCTAGTATCTATAAATTTTCTGTTGAAAATAGCCACTTGGCGCTACTAGCACTTAGTGTCTAGTGTAATTTGTGCAACGCATGCGCCATCATGTTTTCAAAGAGATTTTTTTAAGTGGGGAAGTCGCTGTTAGTGGCGCTTAAGTCGAATAGGAATCTTTACACAAGTTTTTAGAGAAATTTTGTTCGAGCCTCCATGTCTGTTCTCTGTGGTTCATGTGAACCAAAATTTATGAAATTTTGGATTTAGGTTCCATTTTTAAACCATTTTTTCAGCCTATCAATATTGGATTCAGAGAGTAAGCGGCGGTAAGCTCCAACTCGGATTAACTTTTAATACCGCCCCTGTTTGGATGATCTGAGAATTGTTTGTATAGCGAATAACTGATGTCGACATCAAAGCAGCCGGACATTCTTGATCGTTATTTAATCCGAGGATAATACCGATTGGAGCTTAGCCATAAGTGATTTAATGAATACGCTGATTGCGACTCTCTGAAAATTAAATCCACAGGTTTTATACGTCAAACTCATCCTTTGCAACGTCCTCTTGTAACTTAAAAATACAAAATGTCATCATAACGTATAATGACTTCATAATTCCGAAAAAAAACATGTTTCCGGGTGGAATAAGTTTCATCAAGCCTTATGATGGTACCCAAGATTGGCCACAAGCAGTGGCGTTTCCTTAACCTCAATCTACCTGCGCACCAGCTCTCAAAACAAACAATTATCAAAATATTGTTTGCAATGGATGGATATCGAGTAACCTAGAAGATTAAGTGTATTTTTCAACCGATTCGAGTATGAATAAGGCATTAAATCTGGTTTTGTATAACAAAGTTGCGCCAACTAACTCGGTCCCTGGCTGCTTATCTCCAATTTCTCGAGCGTCCCACACTTCCTACATCTTGCTCCACTTGGTCTAACCACCTAGCACGCTGTGCTTCTCTGCGTCTTGTACCGGCCGGATTTGAGGAAAAACACCATTTTTGCGGTATTGTTGTCCGGCATTCTTACAACGTGTCCCGCCCATTGTACCCTTCCACCTTTAGCGACTTTCTTGATATTGGGTTCGCCATAAAGTTACGCCAGTTCGTGGTTCATTCTTCTCCTCTACACACCATTTTCATATACCCTGCCAAAGATGGTCCTAAGCACGCATCGTTCGAAAACTCCCAGTGCTCCTCAAGCATTGTCCATTGTCATATTTTTCATGCACAATAATTTTGTTTATTATATATTTGCAGTTCGTCAATAAGGTAGAAGACTGGCAGCCCAAAACTTTCCGCATTTTTGGATCATCTGTAGAACAGGCAGAGATCTGGAGGCGCAGCGATCACATTGTCATGATTGTCTGGTAGTTCACTCAAAAATGCTATAACAATCGCCAAGCTTGCTGTAATGTCACCAAGTGCCTCGTCACCCACGAATAGGCGCCTATGTCAGTGGTCTAACAACTCTTAGCGCGCTAATGGCATAGTTCCCCTGCCGCATAGAGAGTTGCCACAATGATATTAGGTTAGCTAAGGTCAGTTAACTGACTGGTGGGAAACGGGAGCTTAAGCAATGGCTATTCTTTATGCATTTAAGAGATAGTCTACCAGAATGGATGACTTTTTTTTGTACAATTTTATGTTTTCTGATGGTTTCGGTTGTGCAAAACATGAGAATTAACTTTTTCAATACTTTCAATTGTACAAAGCATTAGAGCTAGAAACAAGATCTTGTAAACACTACACACCTTAACTGGTAGTTTGCTAAAAAAAAATGCTGCAACAATCGTCAAGCTCGCTGTAATGTCACCAAGTGCCTCGTCACCTACAAATTGGCGCCTATGTCAGTGGTCTAACAACTCTTAGCGCGCTAATGGCATAGTTCCCCTGCCGCATAGAGAGTTGCCGCAATGATATTAGGTTAGCTAAGGTCAGTTAACTGACTGGTGGGAAACGGGAGCTTCAGCATTGACAGTTATGTACGCATTTTTATTATGTTATCTAACAACAATGGTGTGTAGTGTTTACACGATCATGTTTCTAATTCTAATGTGTTGTAAATATAATTGAAAGCATTTGAAAAGTAAGATTCTAGTGTTTTGTATATCTAAAAACATTAGTAAACATCTACATTTGAAAACGTTCAAACAACGTTTACTTTAAACGTTTTGTACATCTGAAAACATCAGAGAACAACAAACACGAAGTACAATTAAAAACATCCGAACAACGTTTAGTTCTAACGTTGTGTACATCCGAAAACATCCAAAAAAAGTTTGGTTCCAGCATCGGGAGGCATCTACGTTAGAAAACATCAGAATACATTTACATATAAAAACATTCGAACAACGTTTAGTTCTAACGTTTTTTACATCCGAAAACAACCGAAAAACGTTTGATTCTAACATCAGGAAACCTCTACATTAGAAAACATCAGAAAACGTTTGTTTCTAACATCAGGAAACATCTACATTAGAAAACATCAGAAAACGTTTACATTTAAAAACATCCGAACAACGTTTAGTTCTAACGTTTTGTACATCTGAAAACATCCTTAAAACGTTTGGTTCTAATGTCAATAGATTGAAATTTTTGACGTCAGACCGACATTAGAATGGCAAAATTTTGTTCCAAAATTTCTGATGTATACACCATGTTACGTTGCTTAAATACAACTAAATCATAATGTTTCCTAATGTTTGACATCAGGCATACATTTGATTTCGATGCTGATGTAGACATCAAAATCAAACGTTGGGCTAATGTAAATTTCTATTCGGGGGGTATATAAATGGTGATACAGCTTTGTCACTATATAGGCGAGGAGGTCGCGGGGGGGAAAATGCGGTTTTAGAGCAAATTGTAAACAAACTCGGTCGCTGTCCCATACAAAAATCCAACATGGCTGAATCAAGAATTTGACACATTAGAACACCTATATGTAGACAGCTTGGTTTGTATGAGGAGTATGTATTGAGCTTGTCACTCGTCAATCTACTCTACTCTTCGCTATCTTGCCTACTGCTTTCTGGGGAATCCCAGCGATTTTCGAAAAACACACTGCCCCGCACTGTTCGGTTACCGTTTTGCGGTTGTCAGTGATAACTACTATGATTATGCACGGAAAAACGAGTTTATGCATTGATGACTATTTTTTAACCACTTTTGGGAGCTTGTTCGAGCTGTCATAGAGTGGTTGAAATTTATAGCAAAAAAGTGTATACAATTTAGACATTTCCAGAGAAAACCATTTTGTAAAATAAGTGTCTAAATTTTATTCACCAGTGGCTGAAAAAAAACTTGGCAGCAATTATTTTCCGAAACCGCAGCGGCCATCATTCATCAACTTTTCGCAGGTAGATAGATTGTTTATATTATTATTATACAATTTAAAACTAACTTATAGTTTTGTTTTCATTTCCAGAGTGCGGTGAGAACTCCAAGATGAAGTCATCATCGTCTAGTGAGCACCAGAAATTGCGGCTTCCTTCGCAATCAAGTGCCGGAACGAAAATAAAGTTTTCTTCCGATTCTGTTTCCGACTTTGGAAACAGGACAGAATGTGTGGGATCAGGCCAAAGAGATGGTCGATGATAATAGTAAGTATATCTAACAAGGTACATTGTTTTGTTATTTCAAAACTTTTGATTCCCACTACATAGGGCTTCAAACGGCAGCACAATGATCCGGATGGAGTTCGCCGGGCAATGGAACGGGAAGGTCGACGAAAGGATCGCGAAAACAAGGAAACATCCGATTCCGGATTGTGCTAAGGTGTTCCGTGATCGGACTACACTGCTTTGTACGCAATTAGGATAGATTCACCAGGAGCAGCATGTTCCCAACATTGAATCACCACCAAGGGCAGAAACAACGCCACCACAGCAGAGTATCTTCCTGACCATTGCCAACCATTGCCGATATGAACAGCCTCGCGAATCACATGATGGATTCTGCGTTGAAACCAAGGGGACCAGCCGGCAGCAGAAGAACGGAGTATTCCCCGGTCACCGTGTACAAGGTCACTAAGGCGGTGGACCAAACAGCAACACAAACCAGAATCTTGAAATAAACGTTACTTTTTATTGGATTTTATTCGATTGTAATTTATAATAATATATGTTTAAAATAAACGAAATCAGCCATTAAAATTCCTTCCAGTGCATACAATCTAACCACTTTTGAGAATAACGTCTTTATTCATTAATGATTAAAATATAATCACTTTCGAGAAAAACGTGTTTATTCATCCGATGAGTAAACAGCGTTTATTCATTTTATGAATATGTGCGGGTTTTCTCGAAACTGGTTAAAGTTTAAACATTAATGCAACTTTTTTCTTAGCGTGTGGGTTTCCCTTCACGCAAACTTGAAAGTACCCATTAATGGTTGAAAAAGACCCATTTTGAAGAAAAATGGCTTAAATCATTAAAATTTTACCCATTAATGAGTATCTGTTACCCATTAATGAGTAATTGTTAATCATTAATGGGTAACAGATACTCATTAATGGGTAAAATTGTTTAATCATTAATGAGTTATGCTACTTTTCTTCATAATGGGTCTTTTTTACTCATTAATGAGTACTTTCAAGTTAGCGTGTTGTGGATTCGGAATTCGTCTTCTGTGCGCCTTGAATCATTTTGAGCTCTCTCTCTCTCTCACTCTCTTTGAGAGTTCGTTGTTGATCGGCTACACGATCAACTGATTCCTTTCGGCTGTCGAAAGGATTGCGGCATGCTTTGTGTTAAATCTAGAGGAAATTTTCAAATTATCCTATAAATCTCGCGTCACTTTTCAATGCGTCCTACCTACATCGATCGATTCGCTTCATCGACTTTCACTTTCGTTAACAACTCAGCAGCAGGAACATTATCAGTTATGTCTGACGTTTTGAGTGCTAGGTAATACCAACAGTAATACCTTCTTTTATCAATTGATGTAGCGAAAATAGCACGAAATATGTTAGCGTCAATTGCTCCTTTTTCTTAATTATGGCGATTTATTAAGAGCTATGGCCAGTACCGGAGAAGCTGTCATTATTGTTACAAAGACGGTGAATCGATGAGGGGAATCCCTACATAGTTGGTTTATAGGGTGTCTCGTAAATTCCCTGTAGAACCAAAAACCGTCTCCTCTATCCACGGACCGATGACCGATCACACATATGTATGCACAAACCGAAGAGACCTCTCCGGGTTCTCTTCGACGCAAGAAATAGCTTGACGACGATCGTGCCAACGATCGCGTATCAGTTCTTCGAGTGGTGTTCAAGTGCTCGGTCGCAAATATCTGTACCGCGACGCGTGAGTGAGGTGCAACTAGTTGGAAACTTGAAGAAATTGTCACCCGTTTGGAACTGGTCATCCGTGTGTAGTGCAGCTAGGAACTGAAAATGACGGCTGGACCATTTTCTCAAATCCTGATCTGTTCGATACTGATCTTGAGCCTCTACCGGGAAGGAGTGAAAGCTCGTACGTATACGATTAATGGATTTTGATTGCTTACTTGATTATCGAGTTTTAAACACCACGAGCAGATTATGACTTTAGGTTGCTTTTGTAGGAACTACTGTTCGCAAGAAGCAGAAGAGCAGAAGATAAATATATGACTGTGCTATAAATTTCGGACGGCGACGCATCACGAAGATGTTAAGGACGAAACCTTGACCTTTAGTCGAATGGTTGATGTTGATTGAGGTTGTTAATGTTCTTCGGGATTGTCAGAGCAGTAGAAACAAAGTAGTCTAAGTGCTACTCAAATTCCACCCATCTGCGAGCAGGATGCTGGGCACTGGGGGTTATCAATAATGGCTTCATGGTAAACAAACACGGGCAGAAACAATTCCGGTAATTTGATGACGCCGTATTTTGCAGTTCGTGTTGTGTCCGTGTGCCTTTGGCGATTCTTGAAATTGAAACTTGTGTATCAATCTTATGGTGAGCGATAATGGTAATTGAAACCCATGAAAATGATTTCTGCGACGTGCCGTTGAAACATGTTACGCTTAGACACTTTTAAGTGACCTGATCACCAGTTCACCGAAAAAATGAACTATTTTCAACTAAAAATCAATAGTGTCACTTTTTTCCCCAAATTGAAAAAAAAATCTGCTTAATCATTTAATTGTAGTCCTAAGAGTTGGTAATTGTTGCCATTTTTGCGAATGCGAGCAGTGATTACTAGGTTAGATGAGTCATCAAACTGGAATTTGAATTATCATTCAAACTTCATTCTATACATTAAACCAAATATCATTTATATACCTCGAATGAACAGTTTTTGGCAACACAACCCAAGTAACATTTTTGGTTTTATTATGAAGATGCACGAAACTTAGAATGGACTGGGAGACCACAACAAAACCGAAAATGTTGCACGCAAACATTTGTGTCTTCTTTGCGTTCTATAAAATTCATCGAACACTTTATTCAATTTGTGATTTCACTGGAGATGCCTCATGAATAATTATCCAGAAGGCAGTTGCAAACATTTTAGTGAAAAGGCACTGTATATCAAAGAAGAGCACTTCAACGCCAAATTACAAAGCGATCAGACGATTCGATTTGCATGAAATTTTGCATAATTGTTTGTTATGGGCAATCATTCACATTTGAGCAACCCTGCTCAATAGTTTAGTCGCACTATCTATTTAGGGGTAGAAAGAAAAGAAGAGCCACCGCAGCCAACTGAAGCTGGTACCCTTTGCAACCTTGTTGCATTTATAAATGCATTTTATGTTATATACTGGAATAAATTAATTTTTTATTAAATTGATGGATCGCATAAAATTTTGCGCCGGATCCAGTTCTTCTCCAAACTTAATATAATGTTATGCGGACCGCCCACTTTCACCACTCCGTTTTCTAATTTCTATACACTTCTTCCACTCACAATACCGATTCCATATACCAAACATCCACTACCATCATGATATTTGCTTTTTTCTTCCCTTCTGAACTCATCTTCAAAATTCCCTTTTCTCTCGCTCCCACTGTTATTCTACAACTTGGATACCGGACTTGGGGCATCATAGTCTAGTCAGTAAAGGCACGGTATTACCAAGCTGGAGGCGGCGGGTTCGATTCCCGGACCGGTCGAGAGGGAATCTTTCGGGTTGGAAATTTTCTCGACTTCCCTGGGCTTGCCACACAATATTCAAATTTATGCATTGGTATTGACATCGAAAGCTCTCAACCTTCTCCTTCTTCTCCTCCTCCTCCTCCAACTGTCATCGACGGAACGGGCAACACTCTGCCTCTCCTAAACAAACAAACAAAAAACGCTACTCAATGTTCCACTAAACAAACAAATGACCGAATCAACGCCACACGGCGAATGAGAACAACCCAAATTTGAGTTTAGTCAACTCATAAATCACATTAAGTGCAGGAACTCAGCGATGAGTAAATTTGCCTCATGTTTTTCCAGGGAAAAATTCCCGAATTTGAGAAAAGTAAATATTGGATTCATTCAGTCTATTGGTACTACTCCGAGACTGAATAAAAATTTTTCGTCAATTTCCTCATTTTTCGGCAGATTTTTTAGGTTTTCCACAGGAAACCATGAGACAAATTTACTCATCGCTGAGTTCCTGCACTTTTGGCGATTATGAGTGAACTAAACTCAAATTTGGGTCGTTCTCATTCGCCGTGCACGTTTTTCAATACCGAAAAATCACTAAAGCGAACCCCACACGTATCAATATATTGACGCAAAGTGGAATTATTGAAATTAATATTGATTATGTGAATACAGAAATATTGTTAATACCGATGTATTGACGTCAATATTGAATGTATTGACAATACGATTATTGTCAATGAAAGCAATCGTGTAGGGTCCACAGCTCAAATCGACCGCGGGCAGAGCCTACTATTTTTTTTATTTTTTTATTTTTTGCTATTCGACGTTTTAGCGCGGTGTGTTTTGCCTTCTTCTGTGAATGATGGATTTTCATAATCTTCTTCTTCACAATATATATAAAAATGAATTTCTGTCTGTCTGACCCTTATAGACTCGGAAACCAAATTTGGCATGTGGAGGTCATAGGGGGTATCCCCTTATATAAGAGGGGGAGGGGGCTACGTACAATATAGCATGCTTTTTTTAATCGGTGCATAAGCTCAAGCTAACATTAAATCCCGAGCAAGGCCGGGTACACTCAGCTAGTCTTCTATATTATTATGTATATAAAAATGAATTTCTGTTTGTCTGTCAGTCTGTCTGTCTATCTGTCTGTCTATCTTTCTGTCTGTCTGTCTATCTGTCTGACCCTTATAGACTCGGAAACTACTGAACCGATCTTTGTGAAAATTTGTATGCAGTGGTTTAGGGCCGAAAAAGGTTCTTATGATGGTTCGAGACCCCCCCCCTCTGTAAGGGGGGGGGGGGGGCTCCCATACAAATGAAACAGAAATTTTTGCATTACTCGAGAACTAATCAAGCAAATGGAACCAAATTTGGCATGTGGAGGTCAATAGGGGTATTTCCTTAGATAAGAGGAGGAGCATGCTTTTTTTAATCGGCGCATGAGCTCAAGCTCCCATTAAAATAAAACATAAATTTCTGCATTACTCGAGAACTAATCAAGCAAATGGAACCAAATTTGGCATGTGGAGGTCATAGGGGTTATCCCCTTAGATAAGAGGAGGAGGGGGCTACATACAGTATAGCATGCTTTTTTTAATCGGCGCATGAGCTCAAGCTAACATTGAATCCCGAGCAAGGCCGGGTACACTCAGCTAGTCTTCTATATTATTATATATATAAAAATGAATTTCTGTTTGTCTGTCAGTCTGTCTGTCTATCTGTCTGTCTGCCTGCCTGTCTGTCTGACCCTTATAGACTCGGAAACTACTGAACCGCTCTTCGTGAAAATTTGTATTCAGGGGTTTTTGGGGCCGAGAAAGGTTCTTATGATGGTTCGAGACACCTCCCACCTCTGTAAGGAGGGGAGGGGGGCTCCCATACAAATGAAACAGAAATTTTTGCATTACTCGAGAACTAATCAAGCAAATGGAACCAAATTTGGCATGTGGAGGTCAATAGGGGTATTTCCTTAGATAAGAGGAGGAGCATGCTTTTTTTAATCGGCGCATGAGCTCAAGCTAACATTGAATCCCGAGAAAGGCCGGGCACTAGCTGAGTAGCTGAGGTTCTACAAATGGTAAATAATTTGTTTACTGCTTCTTTTTGAAATATTCTTCGATCATCATTTTCTAAATGTATTGGTAAAATTCATTGGAAGTGCATGTCACCACGCCAAAACTGTCCATATTTCATAAATATCAACTGGATGGTGAGGAATGTTTAACCTTCTCTTTTCTTCCTTCGTTTCACTACAACAGCACGTCACACTACCTAGTCCACCCTGATGGTGGTAAGTTCCAACCGTTATCCTCGGATTAAATCCTGATCACGAATGTCAAGCTGTTATGGTGTCGTTGTCGATGTTAATCAATACGATCCTTAACAAACATTTGGCACATCCTTCAATCAGGACCGGTATGAAATGTTGATCCGAGTTGGAGCTTACCGCCATGAGAAGGAAAGCGAATTACAGGTTACGTGCACTGCTGCTATCTTTCCTGTTAGTGTTTAATCGAAGGCAACAAATCAAGAAGACTGGCAACTTTGCCAGAATCCAAGCGACAGACACAATGGCGCTGCGCTTGAGTGAAGGTGGAAGCAACGCATAGAAAAATGAGCAAATACTCAAACCCTTTTTCTGTAATCTTTGCTATCAAATTCGTTCGAAGCATTTACCTTTGAGCGGCAGATGACGCGATTGTACCTATCTCATAGCGTTCGTATGAGAAAATGGAAGAGTTGCCAGTCTTCTTGATTTGTTGTCTTCGGTTTAATTCAATCTTCTGTGACTTTTTTAATTGGACCTGTAAAATGTCTAAAATGGTCGTTTTTGTTTGATTTATTCTGTTTTTGATATTTATTCACTATTAAATACATCCACTCATCTATGTTAATGAGTCAAACATCGCAATTACTTGTTTCAATGAACTTAAAATCATTGCTAGAAGCAATGCTTCTGGCACCGCTGCTTCAAGGATAGTTTCACGATTGCTAGCAAAGCAGTAAAGTTGAATTGGTTTTGAGTTTTAAGTTTCGTGTATTCGATTGCGTGTAATTGTGCTATACTTCCAATAACACAAGTAAGTAAATACAGTGAATCTGTTTTACCCAGGAAATTTTCGATCTAAAATCATGAAAAACATGTTTTAAATTTTCGTATTAATAATGCATGAATGTATGTGTATACTAATGATGATAATTGAATGATATTTAAAAAAAGAAGAATACTAAATTACTATCCCTTTGTAGAACCTTAATATACATGACAAGTAGCAGAGGTCTGTTGTCCTGGGGGCAGGGTATGGCGAATTGCGTCAGACACTCCAGGCCAAGCCAAGAACTCAAGTTACAGTCATTTCAACACCAACAATTGAAAAGGCTT